GGAGCGCTTTTGAAAATATGTGGTGTCCTGATAAACTGAGCAGATATTTGAGGTTTACACAGCTACATTCTCGCCTGAAAATATGTTAAACGTTTATTTTGTGACCCAGAAAGAATAATAAGAGTAACATTAAAACTAACTAGCTGCCGCTATTGTTGGAAACTGCGCTGTGAATTCTGGGACACAGCTGCTTCTTCTTCTTCTTCTTCGGGGTTTAACGGTAGCTGACATCCTTGTACATGCAATGCTGCCATCTTCTGTTTCAGTCCATTATTACACTCTTAAATCCTGCCACTTATTCCTGCGTCTTTTGTGATCTTACAAAGTTTCAAACGACGCGTCGACTATTAAATCAGTCGTCGACGATTTTGATAGTCGACGTAATCGTGACTAGTCGACAAATCGTGGCAGCCCTAGTTGGTTGGTAAATGTAATCTTGGCTAGAAATACTCACACACTATTTGTCAAGTGGTTGTGAAACTGTGACCAGTGTGACGCAAACAAGACATGGAGAACGTTTACCTTTAAAGCACCTTTCAAAAAATGTTAGTTGCAGTGGTAAGGCACAACTTTTTCTTTGAAGGCAAATGTTCTTTTTCTCTGGTTTGCATCACATTCTTTCAAGTTTCACAGTGTGTTCGCAGACAAGTCGGTGTATTTTATGAAAACTGACCAAAACAATTGCAAGAATGTTTTTGGTGCACCACCCTTTTTGAAAATAATCTGACCTAGCGACAGTCAGCAACTCCTAGAAACCTTTTGCCAACTAGTTGGGGAGTACACATTTTGTCTTAGCAACCAGAGGTTGCCAGTGGTTCACTGACCAGCCCCTTAGGCCTGTGTGATTCAGGCCTAAGATGATAAGATGCTACAAGAGTCTGCAGCTCTGAACGTGCATTGACAGTTTCATTGCACTGTGCAGCTTTTAACTTGAACCATCGCACATTTATTGCATATCAAGTCAGAAAAAAACAGTAGATTTAAAAAAAAAAAAAATGGGTTTAAGTTTACAGTAGTCCATAAAAGTTTTTTTAAGAGTATGCATAGTACATTATTGTGTGGACAGTGCTAAGTGATACGTGAAGTGTACCAAATGATGAGTAGGAAACTTCACAAAAGGAGGAAATTTGACTCAGGACTGTATATGTTGTAAGGCTAAAACGGTGATAGTGGGTCGACCTGCTCTCCATAGAAGAGCACTCTATGCCTTTGTAAGTTTGAAGCATCTCGCATGGAATTCATAGTCCACAGCAATCTTAGGCTCTTCTTTGCCTAGCTTTCCACGGCTTTAGTGTCGATCATGCATGATCGGTTAAATAGCCCGTTTGATGCATTGCTAATGCTTTATGTGTTAAACACTTAAGAAGTGGCAGCTCTTCAATTTTCCATCAGTTTACATCTTTGGCCTAAGTGGAGGGTAAATATTCTCTCGGTATTAAAAAGGGTTATTTATTGTCCCCTGTAGCCATCTGTTATTCCAACCATGCCCTATGTAGTAAAACATTTTTACTGTGATGTTATATTTTTGTATGCTAATTTGTTACGGTGCAAGCTGCAGCAATAACATTGATATTTTGAGAGTTTAGAGTTATATCTCTGCGGCAGGACATATAGAGTTTTATATCAACCAAATGCATGTCATTAATACAGATTTTCCAGGGATCTGTTGTAGCACTTAAACCTGTAAAGTTGATGATTGCATTGTGACCATGCAGCGCTATTGTACGATATCATGCAAAAAATACCGTCTTTTGGCCTTCCGTTTACTAATGTGGTAAATATGCACTAATAATAATGCAAGAATTCAAAGACCATGTCTGCTGTAATAATGCCGTCAGTAACTCCAGTGGCCTTATATTGTAATTAAATAATTGACGAATGTAATGAATGAATTGTTTTTTTTTCTTTTAATAATTAGTAGATCTAATAAATGGACTACATTTGATGTCATTGTGCCGGCTTTTTT